TCGAGATGGTTAAAATAGTTACAATAATTAGCGTCCAGTTATGGTCCAAAGTAGGTTGTTTGTATGCTGTATTTTGTTTTCTATGCAAGTCACCAATTACACTAATGTAGGTCAGAGCTGAGGTGGCGCAGTGGTTAGAGTACAATACTGCATGCTACTTCAGCTGACTGCAATTTGGCAGTTCGAATCTCACCAGGCTCCAAGTTGACTTGGCCTTCCATCCTTCCGATGTGGGTGAAATGAGAAGCCAGATTGTTGGGGGCAACATGCTGACTCTGTAAACCGCTTAGAGAGGACTGTAAAGCGGTATATAAGTCTAAGTGCTATTACTCCCTTCCTTCCTTCCTTCCTTCCTTCCTTCCTTCCTTCCTTCCTTCCTTCCTTCCTTCATGTGCAGTGGTTAGAATGCAGTATTTCAGGCTAACTCTACCAGCAGTTTGAATCTTACCAGGCTCAAGGTTGACTTGGCCTTCCATCCTTCTGAGGTGGGTAAAATGAGGACCCAGAATGTTGGGGAAAATAAGCTGACTGTGTAAACTGCTTAGAGAGGACTGGAAAGCAATGCAAGTGGCATGTAAGTCTAAGGGCTATTGCCATTGTTATTAGCAGGCCTTTTTTCCTGAACAGAAACCAGTTAAAATGATACTAAATAGCCTTTAGAAATACTGAATGATACTGAATAGCCTGAGAAATATTCTAGTAAGCCTCTTGCTTTGAAGTTGGGCCTCTTAAAAATTCAGGGTGCCAAATAACTTGGCCAAGAGACTTGCAAACCAGGCATGATTGACAACTACAATTAGAACCAGAATCTCCATTGCAAAGCAAGGTGGTTATTGAGTCACACCCAATGTCACCATTTTTGCCACAGCAGTTAAGCGAATCACTGCAGTTGTGAAGTGAAACATGTAGTTGTTAAGCGAATCTGGCATCCCCCCCATTGACTTTTGTCTGTGGGAAGCCAGCTGGGATGTTCCTAAATGGTGATCACGTGATCTCAGGACACAACAATTATCAACACATATTGGTTGCCAATCACATGAATTTTGATCCTGTGACTGTGGGGGAATGCTGCATTGGTCATAAGTGTGAGGAGCAGTCTTAAATCCTTTATTTCAGTGCTGATGTGACTTTGAATGGTTGCAAAGCCAACGGTTGTAAGTCAAGGACAACCTGCACCAACCGTGAGAAGAGGAAAGCAAGGCACCCACATTCCCAGAGGGAAGGCGACTGCATTCTCCCACAAACCTAGAACAGGGTTCTAAAATCCAGATGTTTTGCACCAAACCTGATTTCGTCATTCCACTGAAACTTCTTCCGAGGTCCCATGATTCTCTTTCCTCCTTTATCGTCCTCATCCTCATCCTCCGAACAAATCCGATCTCTTTGCTCCTTGTCCTTCTCCTCTTCCAGCATCCTGAGAGAAAGGAAAAGGATAACTGAGGAACCACTAGGCCCTTCTCCCAAAAACATTCGGCCTGCCTAGGATCAGCCTATAAAGAAGGCATCCCAAGAGTTCTCAGCAGTTATGCTTCTAGATCAGGGGTCCTCAAACTACGGCCTGTTGAAGCCTTTAATCTGGTCCATGCGGGACCAAGAGGCTGCCCCGCCCACATCGCCCCACCTACCCGCCAGCCACCACCTGCCTTCTGGAGGCCAAAAATGAGACATGTGGAGGCCCCGGGAGGTCAAAAACGGGCCCATTTTGGGGCGGCAGAGTGGTACTGGAGGCTGAGGAGGCCAAAAATGGGTCCCGTTTTTGGCCTC